GCTTCAATTGGCCATCCATAACGTGGTGCATCTTCAATACTGAAATTGCGAGAACGAAATTTTGTAAACCAGTTTTGGCACTGTCGTTCTGTCAACACATCTCCACCATACATGTCACACGATTTTTTTCTTGCTTGAACGGCATTTTTATTTTTTTGGTAATAAAAAAGCAAAATATGCCGAAGTTGCTGCTTTCGATCTTCCATATTTGATGGGACACAAAAAATAAACAATTGCACGAAATCAAACAAAATTTTTTATAAATAAGCCATAAAATGCTAGCTGTCAAAATATATAATGATAATACGGTTTAGAACGAAAATGGCGGGAAAAATACCACTAATCCGTCTAGTGGTAAAAAAACGAACTTACTTTCCGAACAACCCAATAATAAGTTTCAATGAAAATGATAAAATGTAAATTTAATTTTATCATAACGCGTTTGCTTGAATTTCCTTTCTTCTGAGATCGCAGCAATGCGCGACGGGTAAGCTAGTATTGAATAAATATAATTCAATATTGATTTTAATTGTGCAATAGTTCCATTTTTGAAGAAAATTAAACTATATGAATGATCCAATTAATATATTAAAATACATTGTTTTATAATCAAGTTTCACTGAAGTTCCTTAGCAATTTATGAATTAAAATTATAAATAAAAACAAATTTTACAACTTACATACATAAAAATAATCTATGTGTAAAATTAAATTAATCTGATTAAAGCTTAACCAATTATTTTTTAATTAAGTTTGATCTTTCCTGTTTGATCTTTCCTGTTGTTCAACAACAAGAATTTTTACTCTAGAAGTAACAAACAGAAGATAAAATGCCTTTACTTAAACACTTAACAGAAAGAGATTACTGCAAGTCTGATAATTTGTTGAAAAATTAATACAAATTGTATTTTAAAGTAATTATTAAGCAAAGCATGAAATGTAAAATTATTAGACATATCATTAAGTATTGCTGACCAAACAATGATATTGGACCAATGGTATAAGATTCAATACTTGGTTCAGGAAACTTAGCAGATAGTCTACATCTTGAATGCATTCAAGTAGTAAACTATCTAAAAATAAATAATGATTTTGAGCAAAAAGGAGTATAGCTTGCTATGATGAAGTTGGCACATTAATACTTAAGTACATATGTACTGTACTTATATTTTTAATGTTGGTTTGTTTTAAATTCTGTTCAATTCACTTATTTGGTTTGTTGTCAAAGAAAGCTTAAATGAATATAAGAGAAAAAGTATTTATATTTTCAAGTTTGTCAGTCTTCTTGTGTTTCTTTATACTTTAACATTGATTCCTGTAAATTCATAGTTTGCTTATTTCCAACAATTATACAATGATTGCAAATAGTTCAATATTTTGTAATAAGTATAACAATGTAAAGTTTGTTAGTATGCTAGATATTCACATTTGTTGCCATTGGTAAAGTGTATATGCATACAAATACAGTCGACCCTCCTATAACACAGGTTCATATAGTTCGGATTACTATATGACAGTTAAAAAATTGCGACAGTATTCGTACAAACATGCTAAAAAAACTCATATAATTTGGTAAAATGTCATCACCGACTCATGTCGTGACAGGATTGGTCGAATCCAGGCAAATAGTGGATATTGTACAAACCATTGAGTTTAAACAAGCAGTGGACCTACTAAAAACCATTTATTATTTAACGTCCATAAAAATTATATTTATATTAATGATGACTCCAAAGTTCAGCGAATTTTTTGCAAAAAAAATAATTTATCAGGAAGCATGCGAGCTCCATTTGATGACAAGCTCCATGACGAAAACAAGCTTAACCCGTTTAGTTCTTCGCCCGAGTTAACTCGGGCACGCTATATAGCGTTACATAAAACGTGGTCCTTAAGGCCATTTTTGAAAAAAATTTTTTTTTTTGAATTTTTGGAATGTTTTTTAGGTCCCCAAATTTTTTCAAAATTTTTTGCCCGCGCGAAAAAATTTTATCGCGATTTTAATGAGCCTATGTGAAGGCTCGATTAAGGCTTAATTGTTTTTTAATGGGAGTTTTTTATCAATTTTATTTCATGGTTCCTAAGTTGTAGCGCACTAATTTTACTTCGTAAAGTTATTTAAAGCTAGTTTCTGATGTCAAAAACGACCTGCAAAAGTTTTTAAATTTTTTTAATTAATATATTTTATTTTATATTAATTTAATTGATTAGGGGGGGTCGGAAATCGCAATAAAATTTTTAATTTTTTAAAAATATTTGAAAATATATGCAAATTTCGATGTCACCCTACTTTAAACCCTTGTCCTCCCGAGACTTCTATGAGAATGTCCCGGGAAATCCGACTCCAGCTGTGTTCAAGGTCATCCAGCTGTGTAAACAATAACTCATCGGTGTTAAATTTCACAGAAAGGCGAGTTAAAAAAAAATAAAATTTGAAGCTTTTTCTTCTAAATTAACGCATTTCTTTCGTTTTTTTTCAGGTTTAAGTATTTTTTATGTTTAATTACAATTATATCAAAAATTGCTGGGAACTAAACGGGTTAAGCAATGGCATCATTGAACGGTGCACACTCGGTAAGTAATCCTACAATTTTTTGTTTATAGCATAGTTTATATGGATTATTCCCAAAAAATTATACGTATTTTGGAAATGTTGAGTCAAATTAGTCTAGAATCGATTAATTTTATGGAAGAAACCTTTCAAACAGCCATAGTCCATAAACTGCGTACGTGCCGGGCTGTGATTGGCTCATGTATTTAAGGACTCTTAGAACATCAATTTCATAAAGAACAGAATGTATCTACCGTGTTATAGGGGGTCGACTGTACTTAAATTCTATACATAGTGAATACGAAAATTTATCTTTAACCACAAAAATAAACAAGTAAAACGCCAAAGCCATTTTTGGGACAAGACTATGTCCCAAAAATGGCTTTTGCGACTCAAGACTCGGACTCGGAGACTCAGGGCTTGACTGCCCACTGTTTTCTAAGGAAAATAGAAAAATGAGCACTCTTCAATAAGGAAAAGCCAACACTGGTACTCGAGTGTCCTTGAATAGATTACGGTGGGTTTCATTGCTGCCATGGTTACAATGGGTTGCATTGTCACAGACCTTTCTTGGCTAAAGTAAGGAGCAGGATCACTTCGATGCTCACAGCAGGTCTTGTTCTCATTGTCCAATCTTCTTTGGTATTACTGGTTTTGAGTACGATCATTCAAACTTTGCCGGCCCTGGCCACAGCCATGACCACTAGGTTGTCCATGAAGCATTTTCTGTGAAATTAACCAATCCAATGTTGAAATTTCTCTCTGTTGCATGTCACCCTGGGTGGAATCTTTGTCCATTACTAAGGAAAATTTCCCGTTCTTAAAAAAAATCATTGTGGCTATTGTATTGTCTGAAATTATTTTTTTATTTTGCACAAACAAAATAAATATATTAATAAATGTAAAAACAAAAAAAATTATATTTTAGAAGTTACTTTTAATATAAAATTATAACAACTAGCGCCAAAACGTTCTGATACTGAAACAAGATATCTCAGGCAACTGGTCAAGATCAGCACATCACAACCAGAGATATATCCGGAATAACATGAGACAGGTAAATGGGTTTTTTCAAAGATTCATTTGTCAAAATTTGATTTCTCAATGGTCGCATTTCCAGCTTTCCAATAAATAACACATTCACAAATCTTGCACTAGTGCCTGTTTGTAGAAAGATGTTGCCATTTTGTATTTTATTTTGACTCAGTTCTTGGTCTCCTGAGTACCCACAAGTCTTGTTTTTTTTTATGTGCACCTGATTTGGTCACCTAATATTCTGTGCCAAATTGCAACTCCTGACATGTACTCCTTCATACCTCTAAGCTGGTAAGCCAGGACAGCACTGCGATTTTATAAATAGGACATAGTCTTGTCAATAATAATAAAGTTATTTCATTACTAGAAAGTTTGTTGTATAATCATGCCACATACAGTCGACCCCCCTATAACACTATTGATAATTCTGTTTTATATGAATTCCATGTTGTACGAATCACTTATATTTTGCAAATACGAGGGTGGTCCCAGAAGTACCCGACCTGACATAGATGGCAATACTTATTTGAAAAAAAAAACAACTGTGTTCGAAAGTATCAACCTTATAAAGCTTAAGTTTGAAGTTTGAAGACGTTACATTGTATAGTATTTTTTTGGCAGCCATAAATAGTGAACAATCTCAGTGAATTTGTAAACATGGAAAAAATTTGTCATCGTTATGTGATACAATACTTTCATTTGAAAGGTTTCAGTCCAACCAATATTAAAAATGAGCTAGATTCTACTCTGGGGGAGTCTGCTCCCTCGTTTACAACAATAAAATATTGGGTGGTAGAGTTTAAACGAGGCCGTATGAGCTGCCAAGACAAACATGTCAGTGGTCGACCAAGTGAGGTGACCATGCCAGAAATGGTGGAAAAAATCCACAAAATGGTATTGGATGATAGTCAGTTCAAAGTGCGACAGCTAGCAGACATGGTAGACATTTCAAAAAGTGCTGTACATCGCATTTTAACTGAAAATTTGGACATGAGAAAGCTGTGCGCAAGATGGGTGCCGCGTTTGCTCACAATGGGACAAAAACATCGTCCTAAGGATGTTTCAATCAAGTCTTTGGCAATGTTTCGCAGCAACAAGGCAGAGTTTCTGCGTTGATTCATAACCATGGATGAAACATGGGTCCATCATTTCACACCTTAGACGAAAGAACAGTCGAAACAATGGACTGAAAGGGGAGAATCTGCTCCAAAGAAGGCGAAAACAGTTCCATCTGATGGCAAGGTCATGGCGTCAGTTTTTTGGGATGCGCCCAAAAAAAACAATCAACGGCAAGTATTACGCGAACTTATTGCAGCACTTGAATGATGAAATCAAGAAAAAACGGCCACATTTGGCGAAAAAGAAAATGTTGTTTCATCAAGACAACGCACCAATTCACACATCTGTTATTACGATGGCCAAAATCAATGAGTTAAGGTTCAAATTGCTTCCTCACGCTCCCTATTCGCCAGATTTAGCCCCCTCGGATTATTTTCTCTTTCCAAACTTAAAAAAATGTCTTGGTGATAAAAGATTTGCCAACAATGAAGAAATGTAGTCTGCAGTTGATGGCTATTTTGAGAAGCTCGACAGTTCTCACTATAAACAGGGGATCAAAGCTATTGTACATTGCTGGAAAAAGTGTATCAAGCTAAAAGGAGACTATTTAATGAAGACACAAAAAATTTTTTGTGTCTTCTTTGTTAGGTCGGGTACTTCTGGGACTACCCTCGTACGTGTTCCGGACTGTGAACAGCTCACGTATTTGTAAAATCTAAGTGACTCATACAACATGGAATTCATATAAAACGGAATTATCAACAGTGTTATAGAGGGGGGTCAACTGTATATATATGATATTGTCTGTATTAAATTCCTTTTATGTTGTAATATGGATTTATGATGGAGAGATGATCAAGCAATTTTTGAAGGTCTCAGCATACTGCTCTGGAATCTGGGAACAAATCTCAGCAGATTAAAAAATCCCAAGAATAATTTGAGAGAATGCTCCATGTCAGGCATGGCCAAACCCAAGATGGGCCTTGAGGCCCTCCATGTGTCCATAGTGTGTAAAGAGTAAAAAAAAACAACCAAAAAAGTGGATTGTATTTATTTCATTACAGTTAAATATTTTAAAGCTATTTAGGAATAATAAAAACAAAGTTATTTTAAATTAATTGTATTGATTGGCTGTGTGTTAGATGAATATTTACAATAAAAGTAATTTATAAAATGTAGAAATTTTAATTAGAAAAGTACTTTAAAAATTAGGAAAATAAATGATAAAAAAATAAAATAGAACCACACTTTAACAAAACAGATAATGCTACCATTACTTTTGCCTGGAACAGGAATCACCATCAGCTGAGAACAAGTATAAACACAAAAATAATTATGAAAGTATTTAATAAATATCAAAATACATGCAGATTATGACAAATGTTTTAATCCAAATGTGATGTAAATATTTGAAATCTTCAATTAAGTCTTTGAAGCAAAAGAAATAATGGTGGCACTTTGGTTTACTTGAGTTGATGTTAGACTTGTTTGATTGGCAAAATATACATCACATGTCATATATAAAACTCTGATTCTGATTGGCTATATATATATTAGATTCTGATGTATCAAATACAAGAGTTATATTAAATTTGGATATCTGCAAATTATTTTAATTTTAAGTACTAATTTAAAAATAAGATAGATTTATAGATTTCTTTCCACTGTTTTAATAAAAATATGTACTTAATTTGTAGTTATTCTTTAATTTAAATGTACTTTAATGTATACTTACTCTTCCATCAAATAAATCTCCATATATTAGAAAATCTTCTCTTACAATACCAATTAAATTCAAAGGTATAAATTTAATACTGTTTTGATTAGGATGTTTGTGGCATTTTAACCCTTGTCGCCTTAACTGTTCCAAATGGACTGCATCACCAATTACTTTTGTAATTCCAACATTAATTCCTTGAGTTACTATCCACATATCTGTAGCATTAGCAGCCTACAAAGACAAATAAGAAGAAATTTTTAAAAAATATAATACAAAATGTATTTTAAATTAATTTCCAAATGTAAAGTATGAATTCCAGAAGTAATGAAGATTTTAAAAGATTAGTTTGCAATATTTTATAAACATTACTTATAAAATAGGTAAATGTCTCTTCAATCCGAACAAATTTTCGGTAGACTTTCTCACAGCTTTACAGGTTATAAAACTTCTTTATTTTTTACATATGCATTTCGGGCAAGTTTGATTTTCTAGCCCCTCTTCAGTGCTTAAAATACTCCACATATTTCATCATCCTTTTCACAGTACTTGTACTATAAATTTGTAATGTTTTCTAATTTATAATATCTTTGACAATTTCCATTTTTTCTCTTAAGGGCGTTTTACATCGAAATCCATATCATTATGCTACACAAATACAGGTTTTCTTTAGAAGTATCACAAAAAAACACACAGTAGTATATGTTGTATAAACTTTAAAAAAAGGTAAAACTGACAATAAAATTTTTTTTTCAAAAATTGAAAAAAATTTTATTTAAATTGAAAGGGTTAGTTACAAGTTCCAGTATTCAAATAGTGTAAATTTTATAAATATTGTCAATAATAAAAATACTATATATTCCTAATAATAATTCAATAAAAATATACATACATTTTTTAAAAATAAAATACAAAAAAATTTTATGGTATCGGTTTCTTTTTTTATAAATTATATAGTCAACCCCCCTATAACGCAGGTTCATATAATGTGGATTCGTATATCGCGGCAAAAAAATTGTGACCATATTCATATAAAGACGCTAAAAGAGACTCGTAAAATGCGGTAAAACGTCATTGCCGACTTGTGTCGCAACAGGATTGGTCGAATCTGGACCAATAGTGGATGAGCAGCTGAACTACTTACATGCTACATAGAGTTTAGGCGGGTAAGTTGAGCTTACTATCGTCTGTACAGTATATAAATTAGGTACTGCAAGTCTAATACAGTACTGTAATTTTATACATTTCTTGTGAAAAAAACATTTCTTATTCAACAGCCATAAAAATTATTTCTATTAATGATGTCTCCAAAGTTCAAAGAATTTTTTGCAGAAAAATAACTTATCAGAAAACGCACCCGCCGTTTGGTGCACTGCTCCGCGACGAAAACAAGCTTAAGCAATGGCATCATCAAACAGTGCACACTTGGTAAGTAATCCTACAATTTTTTGTTTATAGCATAGTTTATACAGATTATTCCCAAAAAAGTATACGTGTTTTGGAAATGTTGAGTCAAATTAGTCTAGAATCAATTAATTTTATAGAAGAAAACCTTTCAAACAGCTGTAGTTCATAAACTGCACACATGCTGGGCTGTGATTGGCACATGTATTTAAGGATTCCTACAACGCGAAGTTCTTATAAAGTGGAACGTATCTACCGTGTTATAGGGGGGGGTCGACTGTATTTTTCAAAATAAATGTCTACCATCAAACCTTTCAACAACAATCACTAACAGGAATATAAAAATAGCCAGTGCTTAAGATGACCACTGTTTGGTAGCTATTTAATGTGGCTCTTGGAGGTTTGACTGTATTTATAATATATAGTAGGACCTGAACTTAACAGACTAATTGGTGGGGATGTGGTGTCCATTATTGCCAAAAGTCTATTAAATCAAATGTGTTTAAAAAAACATACATTTTAATAACAAACTTACAATGTACAAGATATATCAAAAAGCTGTACATTAAGTAATTTATATTCATTAACTCACTGACCCATCATTCAATGTATTCTATCCATAAATGAAAAAAAATTATAAAGTTTCCTCTAGAACAGAAATTTTTGTTCTTCAAATCTGAAGTCCATTAAATTGAGGGTCTGCTATATTCAAAAATTTAAATTACTTTTTTTGCTAAACTGAGTTAACAAGTTGTTTATTATGGTTAATGAAATGAAATAAAAATATATAAATATGAATAAAAATTAGTATAAAAATCTATCATCAAATAACTGTACATTAATTTTAAAAAGTAGGATTTAAAAAAAATTCTTTCCCAATTTAATTTTAAAAGTCTTATTTCTGAATAATTATTCAATCCCTAACCTTAATCAATCCTTTTTGAAAATTTTCTAGCTGCCTGCTGTTTTTCCAATCATGAGGAGATGTTACATTAGAAATCACCACTAAAACAATTCTTGGACTTTTTATTTTCCATTTACTTTGTAAAATATTTGCAATTTCTTCTAGATTAGCATCATGAGTGGTAGTAAGAAAAGGACGGCCCTAAATGAAAGTGTAAAATTATTATTAATTAAATACAATAAAACTTAAGTTATAACTGAAAATAAGGTCAATAAATTTAATAATTCAATCATTGTAGAAATTCCAGGAATCAACCTATTTATTTCTGATTAAATGTTTTTTGTGACCTTTTAGTCTCATTGTCAGATCAAACACTTAAACTTCAATGCATTTAATCAGAAATAAATAGGTTGACTCCTTAAATCTCCATAGAGATTATGTTAAATTTAGCTTGATAGAGTTGATAATTTCAAAAAAAGAATTTAATAATGCAAAACAATTTCTAATAATAAGTAAAAGAAAACTATCATTTAAAAAAACAATAATAAATGTAGATAAACTTTAACCTCAGTTTCATAGGCAAAATTTTTCCAAAAGCAAATTTTTCCAACAGTAGAGGAAAACTTTGACATTCCTTCTTCACCAAATGCAACAGAAGGTGCATGACTGCTCTGACGTTGAAAACATGTATTTAGCTTATCATAACCAGAAGAAGTACCTTCAAAAGTTTGTAAATCTGTTTCTGAAACAATCTAAAAATAGCATAAAATTAATGTAAATATGACTGAAATTTTTTCAAGTAATTTTATTTTTTATTATTATAAAGTCATTTAAAATATTAACATTTTAATTGAAAAAGTGAACTATTAGCAGATGACAATTATAATAGTTCTCATTCAGTAAAAAATATAATAAATATAACTTGGTACAGTACTTCATACTTAGTAACTTGTATCATATGGAATGAAAAAAATTACTAGTGAGTCATATTTTTCAGAAAATAAATGCTAAATAAACATTAACTATTTCTAATATATTTATGAAGTAATTGAACAGACAACTTCTTGATATTCAAAATATAAAATTTAATATGCATAATATCATATTGATTAGTATTATTAAATTAAGAGTTTATTCAGTTAATTTAACAATAAACATTCATAAATGATTTCTCTTACTGTCTTACTTATTATCTTATTATTATTAAATATTTTTCCTTAAGCTTGAAAATTCACCATTATTAACATCATATTCTAAGTAATACATAGTATTACTTAGAATATGATAGTATTAAAATGTATTTATTTAAGATTAAAATAATTAAATTATTATAACCTTTTATGTATTTTAATCACAACTTTCATAAAATCATTACTATAAAATTTATTTTTGTAAGAGTCTAAATGTTTTTCAAATATTTTTAAATGATTATTTTATAACATCTAATTACTCAGAAATTAAAAACATTATGAAAAGAAATTCAATATGTAAACTTTAGTAATTATAAATGGTAGAAAAAATTGTTTTAAACAAATATTTGCATCATAATTAGAGAGGTGTCTTATAAAAAAATAAAGAAATTAAAAAACTTTAAAAATAATTATTTTATTTATTTCTTTTTAACTTTTACAGAAAATTGCTGCTGATGAGACCACACTGTGACACTATGGAGATTTACTTCTGACCAGTGATGCATATTATGTGAATTAATAAAAATCCCATTTCGTAAAAAAGTCGCTTCATCTGTGAAAAAAACATTATTTAGAAAAGTGGGATTTTGAGCACACCAATTGACAAAACTCCACTTATTGAGAGTAATCAGTCAGATTCAGCATATGCATCTTCTGTAGGTAGCATGAATGCAAATGTTGTGCATGCAAAGTACACAAAACTGTCATGTGGTTAACACTCACAATAGCACCAACCTTTCCAGTACTTGTGCCAGGATCATTTTCTACCAATTGAAAAGCCAAGTCTTGGTTATTCTGGTTGCCATTTGGTGATCGTCATTCACTTTTACTAGAGCATAACTGCCCTTTTTCTCTCAGATGTCTATCTACAGCAGTAAAAGTTTGGTGATTTGGCACTCTTCTGCCAGGAAAGTTTCTTGGTACAGTTATCTAGCTTCAAGTGCATTCCTGCAAGCTTGCCCATACATTAAATGCATATTAGCATATTCTGAAAACATAAATTTGGATATTATTGGAAAAAATCACTTTGGTCAATACAAACTAATCACTGTTGACGAACAAATACAAATAATGCAAATGCTCTTGACTTCAACATAATAAGTCAAAAGTTCCATATTATTCGGAGATATTCGAATATAAAAATTAGCCTTAAAATTAGCAGTACATTTAAATGTTTAAGACATACCATATTCAAAGATGTTCTAAGAACATTTTCAAATATGCAATTTTTTTAATCATGGAACTTATCACAGATATATATAAAGTTAAGCCATGTACTCTTACAAAAAAAAAAGACTCAAAATCCAAGTAGCAAATTAATAAATCAAACTAATATTTATCAACAAATATTTTCATACAGGAAGTGTTTTGCTAAACAGGAAGTGATATCAATTTTTTAAAATCGCTTATAACTCAAAGTGAATGCTTCAAATCAAAAAATGGCCATAGAGTTTCCAACTCAAAATTAGCCCCTCTACAACTCCTCAAATTTTTTTTCACACCTTTCTGTTACACCCTGTATATATGTATAACCAAACACACCAAAAATGAAGTGAAAAAAGCACTTAAAATCAGTTGCATTCACTGCAAGCACAAGAGGCAACTTGACACACAATGGATGGCATTTTTTCACTATTTGTACAGTTTGAACAAAGAAGCATTATTCCAATTCTGAGTCAAATTTTTCTTGAATTTACCATTCAAACTCTGGAACATCCAGAGTCATTCAAAATACGAAATATCACTGTATTTGGTCTTGACTGAATTTCACATGTTAACATAGAAAAAATTTAGCTAAAATAGGCATATATCATTTTTATTATAGGATCAAGATGAAATGAGTCAAAAGTAGAATGAAGCAGATACTAAGAAAAATCTAAAAATTATAGAGAATAGTGTAAGTTGACACTGAGAAGTAAACATGTTTCTCCTACAATGGTCAGATCACTGGCTAATTCTTTTAGCTGAAGTGCAAATAAAGATAACTGATCAAAAATTTTTTTAATTATAAAAATATTTTTTAAAGCTTTTAACACAGACATATTAACTATGTTATACATCACAAAGCTAAAATGCTGGTAACTATTTATTCTTTCTTCCATATATGTTCTTGATTAATCTTTTCAAAATTATTGATAAATTATAATTTATTCAATGAAAAGTTGAAAAGTTGTTTATAACTATTAGAGTTTGTAATTTTAAAAAACATTAAAAAAGAAGTCAAAACCTAAAGATTACCACTTAAATTATCTAATATGACTCCCAATTGAAAACATTTGAAGTGATAATCTTTAGGTTTTGACTTCTTTCTTTGGCTAACTAACTAATTAACTGACTGAAAGTATTAAATTTTTTTTTAATTTCAAAAGTTTTTTGCATATTTTTCCCCCTACATTTAACTTGTTATTACTACAGTTTTTTTCATTTTAAAAAATTTGAAATAAAACATTTGTATTATATTTTTAATTCATAAAACTATAAGAACAGTTTTTAAATTTAAATATTTTGAGTTATTTTTTACTAAATATGTAAAATTATGATAAACTCAAATTTGAAATTTTAAGATATTTCTATGAAATATAAAATTCTTGATCTTGGTGCTTTTTATTTATATGTTTTTAATCTATATATTTAAAAATGATACAGTCTGATTGTAAAGTCCCTCCATAGTGGGCCACACCTATGAGGATCAGCCAAGTGATAACGTCATAACTTACTTTAACTCTTTTGACATGCAGTCTGCCTGGGATGTCATTACTTTGTTCCAGAAGGCTTCTCCCATTTCCTCATCTACTGTGAAGAGACTTTATGATTTCACTGTCTAATTTAATAATACAAATTCAATAAAACAATAAGGCATTCCATATTCTAACTAACTCATATATTAATTCTACTTTTAAAAAATATTTATTAATATTCTCATTGTAATTTCATTGAGAATCATGATTAATTCATCATATTCTTTAGATATCACATGTAATAATGACAAAGCTGAAAATACACTATTTGACTTAATTCTGTTCATGACTTTGTAATTAATTTAGCTTCACTTGCTTCATAAGTGTTCTCTTGTTTATTCTTAATTGTAACTGTAACATTTTTTCTCCTCTCTTTTTTCTTTTGTCTCAACGTATAAAGATAGAACAGATATATATCTAAAAATATTTTTTAAAGCTTTTAACACAGACATATTAACTATGTTATACATCACAAAGCTAAAATGCTGGTAACTATTTATTCTTTCTTCCATATATGTTCTTGATTAATCTTTTCAAAATTATTGATAAATTATAATTTATTCAATGAAAAGTTGAAAAGTTGTTTATAACTATTAGAGTTTGTAATTTTAAAAAACATTAAAAAAGAAGTCAAAACCTAAAGATTACCACTTAAATTATCTAATATGACTCCCAATTGAAAACATTTGAAGTGATAATCTTTAGGTTTTGACTTCTTTCTTTGGCTAACTAACTAATTAACTGACTGAAAGTATTAAATTTTTTTTTAATTTCAAAAGTTTTTTGCATATTTTTCCCCCTACATTTAACTTGTTATTACTACAGTTTTTTTCATTTTAAAAAATTTGAAATAAAACATTTGTATTATATTTTTAATTCATAAAACTATAAGAACAGTTTTTAAATTTAAATATTTTGAGTTATTTTTTACTAAATATGTAAAATTATGATAAACTCAAATTTGAAATTTTAAGATATTTCTATGAAATATAAAATTCTTGATCTTGGTGCTTTTTATTTATATGTTTTTAATCTATATATTTAAAAATGATACAGTCTGATTGTAAAGTCCCTCCATAGTGGGCCACACCTATGAGGATCAGCCAAGTGATAACGTCATAACTTACTTTAACTCTTTTGACATGCAGTCTGCCTGGGATGTCATTACTTTGTTCCAGAAGGCTTCTCCCATTTCCTCATCTACTGTGAAGAGACTTTATGATTTCACTGTCTAATTTAATAATACAAATTCAATAAAACAATAAGGCATTCCATATTCTAACTAACTCATATATTAATTCTACTTTTAAAAAATATTTATTAATATTCTCATTGTAATTTCATTGAGAATCATGATTAATTCATCATATTCTTTAGATATCACATGTAATAATGACAAAGCTGAAAATACACTATTTGACTTAATTCTGTTCATGACTTTGTAATTAATTTAGCTTCACTTGCTTCATAAGTGTTCTCTTGTTTATTCTTAATTGTAACTGTAACATTTTTTCTCCTCTCTTTTTTCTTTAGTCTCAACGTATAAAGATAGAACAGATATATATCTAAAAATATTTTTATTAAAAAATTTTTGATTTTATTCATTGAAGACTATTTTGAAACTTAAAAATTTATTGAAAATTCATTATTCTATAATTTAAAAAATTTTAAGTAACAATTTCACCTACATTTACAAACTTAATTTATATTAGAACAAAACTAGTTTTCCTAAAATGTAATTATTCCAAGTATTTTCATACTATAATAATATATAGGCTATAAATAATTTATATAAGGTTATTTTCAATATAAATTACTTAGAAAATTAATTATTTATAATACTATTTTAAAAAGTAGTAATTAATAATTAAGTTAGGATAATTTCACTTGTCATCTATTATTGATATTACTAATAATAATGAATAATGAAGAGTAAAAACTGAAAATATTTATTGTATTATTTAATAATTAGAACTTTAAAAAACAAAAAATAATTAAAACTAGAGAAAAAGTTGATTTTAAAAATTATAATTAACAATTTTAAAAGTTTTTAATAAATTAAAAAGTGTTTTTGAACAATTTACTATAAATAAATTTTAAAATCATTATCAATACTGTATTATCCTAGATCAAATTCACTGTTTATAAATCAATTAATTAAACAAGAATTCTTACCTACCAATAAGAAAATATATAAATATAAATCTAACTGTTGTAATTATTCAAATCATTTGAAAACTAAATTTATGATTACAATATCTTATTTAATTAAAATGTTTCTCAATTTAATTTTGTGATTTGTTAAATTGTGTTACTACATAACAATCATGTTGTAATTTTAAATATTTAAAATTGTTATTTTTAAAACTTAAAATCAATATCCTATTATTAAAATTTGAATTTTCATATTTAAAACTACATCTGTTAACTTTATTTACTGTAATTATTTTATAATTTTAAAAAAGTTAACAGATGTAGTTTTCTTACTTGAAAACTACTGATACTTTTCTAAAACCAAACTTCCTACAAATTGTAAGTGGAACAGTTTCACTAACTTGTAATTAGTGTGCAATGATTTTAATTTTTTATGTAAGCATTAATTAACAATAATTTAGTTAAAATCTTTATTTTTAAAATTTTACTAGAAGCTAATAAAAAGCAATAATATCAGTATATGAATTTTAACTTTATTTGTAAATACACATTAACAGTAATTTAGATTTAAATGTTTAAACTTTTATTTAAACTGATTTTATTGAATTAAGCTTTTCTGATTTTTATAAACTCTATACACAATTGTATATTCTACTAGTGTATTTATTATTATACATTGCATAAATACAAATAATATACTAAATAATGAACTGAATTTAAATTATTTTCAGTTATGTAGATTTATGTTTTTATATATTTTATTATCTTTATTTGTAAATTTAAATTTATTTTATTTTTTACATAATATTTCAGGATTTTTAAAGTTTGGCATGCTAAATTTTTAAGAATTACACATATATTGTATATATATTTTTCACATGCATTTCTGAAGTTCACTAAATT